TATTTACAAATAAATATTTCACTGTTAAAATGATTTAGTGATATAATCTATTTGTGTTAAAGATTGAATCACATGTATGTTCAGATGCATACCAAAGGATTTTATTAACCTATAGTATTAGATAGCTTAGTGACAAGGCTTTTATTACCATGATCAATCACATTCACATGGCAGACATTGAAAAAAAGTAGTGGATTTATACGTAGCTCCCTCGTTGGCATAACACATCCTAATGATTATAATCTAAACTACCTATTCATACAGTGGTCACAATTGATTCCCCATCTATAAACAAGATAGATTATCTTATCAGGAGACAACGAAGTGGAATTTTTTATTTTCCACAGAATTATCTGAGGGGTTGACTCTGCCTTTTACTCAATAAATGATGTGGATATTAATCTTTACGACACTCGTCTGCTAATTTGTTTTTTCAATCTGAGTTTTCAAGTTCTTTTTATATAAGTCTCGTGCCTACTTCTTTCATACACAAAAGTAGTGAGTGATAGTGTACAGTATTATTTATGAATAGATATTGTAAACGAAGTAGAAACCACCACATTTCGGCAAAATAGCAATTATAAGTAACTAGAAGTATCATAAATCGACGCATCTTTCGCGTCACTGGAATACTTTAAATTAATAAACTATTGACATGTATTTTGTTTTAGTTCGAATCTGGATTGAACAATGAAGAAAATTATATTGATATTGATAAAATTCCTGCCACTTCAAGATCATATAAACAAAACAAAACTTTCGAACCTAACCTTCATTATGGAACTATGGAACCCAGTATTCACAATTCTCGAAAACAGTCTACATTAGAATCGTCTTTCGAAACAATATATGATCAAACAAAATTGTGCTATAAACTTTAATACGTAAAAGTAAGATGTATTTTGATATAACACGATCATGCGGCCACTAGATTTAAAAAAAAACTTGGTGGAACGATAGTACTATTTTTACTAATAAAAATACCTAATCTCTTGATCAAAATTTTTAATTCAGTGGATATTTACAATATCAACACTTATTTAGTTATTGCATTGGTCAACAAAGTGAAGACAGGTGCTACTTCAATTGTAGTTGTCCCCCTTAATATTCTGCAAGACAAAGTCTTCAAAATACTTAACGATCAAAACACTGATGATTTAATGTATACTAGTGTGAAAATAAAAGTCGGAGATTTACATAGTATACTAGTAACAGCGAGCGATTCGAAAGTGGAGGGATGACAAGCAATTATTGACTAGCAAGAAAAACAAACCAACCTACATTCGATACGTTAATAATAAACATACTCATGGGAAGCCTCGGTATATAATAGTCAGATTATAAGTTTGATCGAGAGACGCAATAAATCTGCACCGTGTTTGACACCCGTATGATGAAATAATTTCAAAAAATCCTAACTGATAACTATAAAGTACACTGGTCGGCAACAAGAAACTTAGAATCCTGGGAAATGTGCAGGAGTAACAGCATAGTGAACACTAGGAAACCTTATACCATTTTTTTTACTAAACCTTAATGTTGTAGATATTTAAATTATTGGCTGTCAGTACCATGTAGAATATTTTACTTAACTAAACATTTATACCATAGTTTCGGAGTAATAGACAAATCTTTCCATTGTTTTCCTTTCATTTTAGGTTTATTGGGAATTTGTAACTTTCACAACCAATCAAGTATCGACGATTATTTGGAAAGAAATTATCCAAGAAAAATAAAATAAAAGTTACTCTTGAACAATAGTTTTTTTAAAATATTTGACTCTAAATAGTCTATTTCTTGCAAGAAAATGATAAACTCAGTGCTATACTGATGACTACGGGAATTTTCAGTATTTAGTGATGTACTATTGACATAACTCCGCCTGTAGCTCTTCTGCCGGTCCCAAGCCTGGGTAAAGGAGTAGGAGTGAGATGATGTTATCAACCCCATCCCGTAGAAAACAGACTTGCTAAGAAAACGCTAACCAGATTAAACAAATTAAACCATATAAACTCTGCCCCCGGATTTAAAGGGAGAATTATAACGCTTCATAATGAAAGCCGAGATTCTTCGGACGTCACGCGGCCGATGTCCCTTCTAACAACCAGATCAACAATTTTTATAGGTACATGGAACGTCCGGACAACGTGAGAGACCGGAAGGACCAATCAAATAGCAACGGAAATGTGGAAATACAAATTATCGGTACTCGGAATTACCGAAACCCAGTGAACCCAAGCTGGACAGAAAAGGTTAGATACAGGAGAGATGCTGCTGGAATCCGGTCAAGAAAAGAAAAATGCTCCACATACTCCGGAAGTTGTTCTAATGTTGTGCAAAAAGCACGTAATGCGCTTATAGGATTGGAATCTCACGGATCAAGGATCATAAAAGTATCCTTCAAAACAAAGAGTCAGTCAGCTACAACGTAGGACCAGGCACATATATGCATCGATCGAAGTTGTCATGAGACAACTATATGACACGACGAAGAAACTGTTAGGGAAATACAGAAAATCAGAGAGGCCGGCCAAGGAAAATCACCGAGATTCGAGGACAGAGGGGTGGAACATTTTGAGAAACTCTTGAATAGGTCAGCTCCATTGAGTCCACCGGATATCGAGGCAGCACCTACAGATCTTCTCACAGATGTCACTCCACCAACTACGAAGGAAATAGGGATGGCCATCAGACAAATCAAGAGCGGGAAAGCAACAGGATATGACAATATACCAGCTGAAGCTCCCAAGTCAGACATAGAAGTAACTGCAGGTATGCTTCACGTTCTGTTTGGGAAGATTTGGGAAGAAGTACAAATGCCGATGGACTGGAATTAAGGACTCCTCATCAAGACACTAAATAAAGATCCAAGGAAGTGTGAGAACTACAGAGGCATCACACTACTGTTAGTACCAGAAAAAGTTTCCGACAGAGTGTTTCCGAACAGGATAAAAATTTAGTAGACGCCCAACTTCCAGACCAACAAGCAAGATTCTGTAAGGATCGGTCGTGCACAGACCAAGTCACGACACTCCGGATCATCGTTGAACAATCAGTTGAGTGGAACTAGTCACTATACATCAACTTTATTGACTATGAGAAGGCGTTTGACGGTGTGGATAGGAGGATTTTATGGAAACTTCTTCGACATTGTGGACCACCTGAGAAGATCGTCAACACCATCCGAATTTCATACGACGGACTACAGTTCAAAGTCGCGCATGGAGGACAGATGCATTCCAAGTGAGGACTGTAGTCAGACAAGGCTGCGTACTCTCCCCTTCCTCTTTCTTCTGGTGGTCGACTGGATTATGAAGACCTCGGCATTCGAGGGAAAACAGAGAATAAACTGCACAGCTCGGAATCAATTAGAAAATATGGACTTCGTAGACGACCTCTCCTTTCTATCCCATACATACGAACAAATGCAGATGGAGGAAGCTAGTGTAGTAGCAATCTCTGCATCAGTAGGCCTCAATATACACAAAGAAAAAAGCAAGTTTCTCAAAAACAAGGCGGAGAACACCAACCCAGTCACACTTGATGGAAAAGCTCTGAGAAGCATAATCAATAAACATGAGGATCCGATGAAGACCCAAAAGGCGAGGACTGGCAAAGCAAGGTCCGCATCCCTACAATTGAAGAACAGGTGGAACTCAAAACAACTGTCAACCAATATCAAAGTCACAATCTTCAATACGAACGTCAAGACAATCCTACCGTACAGAGCTGAAACTTGGAGAGCCACTACAATCATCATCAAAGAAGTACAGATATTTACAAACAACTGTCTACCCAAGATATTCAATATCCGTTGACCGGATACCATCGGCAACAGCCTTCTGTGAGAGAGGACGAACCAGCCTCCAGATGAAGAGGAAATTAGGAAAGGGTGTTTTAAGTCGATAGGACATACATTGTGGAAATCCCCAGACTGCATCATGATGCAAACCCTAGCTTGGAATCCTGAGGGGAAACGGAAATGAGGAAGACTGAAGAACACACTGTTTCGGGAATTAAAAGCAAACATGAAAAGGATTGCCCAGGACAGGGTCCGATGGAGAGTGCCGGTGGTTGGCCTATGCTCCTCCACGATAGGTAACAGGCGTAATGAAACTATTGACAGATTAAAAATAAATATATAAAAAGATCCGCCGTTGCGACCTTCAGGTGATATAACATCTAATTGTGAAACTTTGGAGGTTAATTTGAATGAACATATGCGCAAAATCTGTATTCAACGGCTACACAAGTTATGAATAACGAAGAAAACAGGTCCTTAATTATAAGTCATTAAATAGAAAGTAGCGAGCATACATGTGTTGTAATTGTGATGTTTCAAAAGAGAGTTAAATAATGTACAAATAAGTATGTATGGAAATGATGTTCACTCTGGGATGCAGGTACATCTAGCTGACGAGTCCCGAATAGGATGGAACGTGCTAGCCACCATCCATATTTTCAATTTAAATCTTTTAAAATACACGTATCTGATCAGCTACAGTCAACTATACGCTATATCAAATAGTATGAAACCATTGATTTGTGGTATACCATTTTCAGTGAATATCAACTCGTTTATATATTTGTGTCTGAAAACTGACGCATCTTACACTCTACTAAAAATACTAAGCAAAAAACAAACGATTCATTAATAACTAATAAGGGCGGCCTGTTTGAGCATCTGGGCTACCCGTTCCTGCCATCTAGATACTTCAACAAGTTATCTATTTTTGTTTGTTTTAATATATCATTATGTTTATTAATCGCATAGCCTATTCTACTGCGTTTCTGAAAAGTGTACAACCTTTCGTTGTCAATGTTACAAAAAACTCAATAAGAGACAATGTGGTTACTGGCAATATACAACGAAAAGAATGCACATTACTCAGATGTTCATTTACTGAACTGCTAACATCTAACTGGCGATCACTCACTATTTATCGCCAGGACCGACTAAGAAGAAAGAAACGGAAACATGTTGAAATACTATGAGCTGAGAATTCTATATTGTACCAAAAATATAATATTGAATAAAGCTGATAATAATAATAACATATGTGAATTTATTGAAGACCATGATGATTAATGCAAACACGGATAAATATTGTTTGGTTTATTAAATTACTAAGTTTGATTATTTCAATGAATACAAAAGATTGTTTTCGTCAGAAAAAATTTATTTAAACTATATAAACATCTCATATACAATAATTCAGTAAAAAAATTACAGACCACCGGCAAAAAGACTGCCCATAAATTCAGGATTCGAAACAGCTGAGAAGCCAAGACATCCTTCAGGCGGTGTACGACTAGAATGAGCAAGTTTTTCTTTGATTTCATCTTCTGTAAGCTTTTGACGTCGATTCAGTCGGACTGGTTTTCTTTCAGTAAATCTAGAACGACGGAAAATTTAACTAAGATTTTCTACTGGATATAAGATACTAAAATAGAATTGGATTAGACAGGTAGAGAACTTAAGGATCATGTGAATATTACTAAGTCTCCGTGTCTTTTAATGTACCTAACAATGGGATGTTAGTGTTAATGACCGTTTGCAAAATTATTTTGAAAGCTTAATGGTAAACAGTGTTAATTTGTGATTGCCTATGGATATAAGAAAAGTTCTGGAGAGAATATGAGGTTACATTCCAGATCTGTTTATCTGTATCAATATGCTAAACCCCCAAATGAAAGAAAAACACTTTTGCTGAGCATTTACAGACAATTTAAGAAGTAAATATTAAGTTAATGATCAGTATATAGAAGTACAGTACATAGGACTCAACGTTAAACCATTTGTAGGACTTCATATGTTTAGTTTGGTTTACCAATAATTTAGTGAGGGATTTCAAAAGGTTGGCGGATGGTAATATTTGATTATGGGGTATGAAAAACGAGGTTATGCTCCCAATGAAAAGCCAATAATAAGCGTTCCCTGAACTCATTGCAAGTATTACCAATATATTCCTCTGACAATATATACAACTTTAGTAAGACAATGCGAAGAGTCCAATCCCGACCTACACCTTCGCTTATAAGTAAACATGACCGGCGAGTCAGGTGTTCAACCCTGAGAAATATTGTACACATTTATGACAGAATTGAACCAAAACGCTTCTTGAATAAGTTTTATTTGTGGCATTGGAGCAGCTTCCACCATTAGCGTGTTTGGTGACATAGGGACCGAGTGGATTGTTAAAGCTCACTTTATGAAATGGGGTCACGATGTGGAGGATAATCATATTATATGTTATCAATCAAGAATTCATGAAATCACTCTAAACGACTGACAATTTATTTGCTTCAGACGTAAAATACAGTTAAGAATTAGAACCCATGAGGGACCTATCGTAACTTTCCTTTTATTTAAATTTAAATAGCCGGAATAAATGAACAAAAAAAGCTCCGTACTATCTAAACGTTTAGTGATTTACTTAACAACATTTTGGTATTTTTGATGTGCTATTGGATTAACTAACGCTTAGAAATAATAATATGCATGATTTTTCCTTTGATATTTCTACCCTTAATTACATAAATCATACTGTGTGCCACAGTTAACACTCTTTATAACCAGATGAAACAGCAAATTATTTGAAGTAGGAAATTTTTCTCGGTGTACATAACTGTAATGAATCCATGAAGAGGAATTTATCATACATAACTTCAGAAATTTGTTAACAAACTATAAAAAAGATGGCAAAAATAAGCATATGTTAAAGAAATACCTTTTCCCTTTAACTTGCTTCATCTTTTTCTCTAGTTTCTTTGCATCCAGAGCTGCAGAAAATTGGCGAGCTTGATGCTTCGCGACCACTATATCACGATCATGAGCTGTACGTCTTTGTTCTTCTTCTTCGCGTTCAGCGCCAAAAAGGTCGTTCCATGAAGTGTCTTTCAAAAATCTAATGTTCCACAGTTCACCAAACCACGGATTACGCTAAAAGCGAAAAAACACAGAACGAGTAAGAGGTTTAATTAGCTTCTGACTTAGTGCATCTTATGTATACTGTAACCACAGGACACAATAAACACGGTTGTACATAAAGCGAAGTTTTTAGGAAGTAAAGAATAACAAACCAACGACTGACTGTGTAAGAATTATGCCTTCTAAGGAAAATAAAAATGCTTCGAAGTAAATGATTCCATACTATCGATTTCCTAAACCAGTCACTTATTTAATTTCATTTGTATCATATATAGATTAGTACAATAATAACCCAAAAATGTTTTAATAAAAGAGGTAAGCTTTTTATTTGGAAAACAGTCGCTGCAAAAGAAGTTACACATATTGTAATCATCATGCAGCAGTCAAAGGAAGGTTTAAATGAAGTGTTAGTGTATATGTATATATAGTTAAATTAAAGGAACTGGGATACACCAATTTTGGATAGTAATCCAAGTGGCCTCAACAAAACAGCCCATATATGAATCTCTCACAGCCTCATCAATTGACTTACCATCATTCCCTAATACCCTGCGTCTAACTTTACTATTACTTACCCGGTGATCCCAGAGGATGCGAGCAATATTTCTAAGACATCTGTGATCAAATACTAGTAACTTACTTGTCCTTTTTTAATTTTTTTGGATAAAGTCTTTGGTCACAGTTCTAAATTACTACAAAATCTAAAAAACGGGACATACTGTTTATTATGTGTATCCGAATTCCAAAGACTTGAATTCAAAGTATAATATCGGAACGATAAAACATGTGCATATAGTTAGTGAGCAAAGAATAATAATGGTAATTATAACGAACCTTTGATCCAAGAACTTCTGTACAATTAAGCCGCTTGGCAACACGCCTAGCTACTTTGTTGTTAAGAAACTCAATCCAACCTTCTTCATATTGACGGTATTTTCCTACTTTTTTCTTTTTTGGTATCAAGTAAACTCTGCCAATTTTACCAAACTGTTGCATAATGTCCGAAATCATGCTGACGTTCATCCCATTTGGTATAGTTGAGAGATATATAATACCCGGAACATCAGACTCGACTTTGTCATCCTCGATTCTGGCATCAAAAACCATTAAATTGAACGCCGAGGTGAAATGAGACGATAACAAGGCTTATAAAATTTGAAAAGTATTAGGACAATTAGCTAAGAAACTGAAACGACAGAACAATGACATCAAAAAGCACAGGCAAACGAGGAACCAGACGAAAATTGCCCACAAAACATACCATGTGACGTAGGTCAAAAAGTAATCCAACGAGATATGTGCATACGCATTAAAGAAATAAAGACCAAATCTTACATAACATCATTTATAAGTCAATCTATAAGAAATCTTCGAACATGTGGAAACCAGGAAGTGACAACCACCCCCATACATTTGAAACCATTAAGGACCTGTAAAAGCCCAAATCAATAAGTAAAGCGCTTTGAAAACACTCTTTAAGCTCCAGTAAAATGGTTATACTAACCCTCATACCTGCATTTATCGATGTAGCAACCACAGAATAATAGTGACAAATAAATCCAGGAAATAAATGTCTATATTTATGCGAAATTATATTATTCATCTTAATCATTAACGTCTCTGCTAATATCCATTGAGTTAACTTATGCATTGAGTACAACGCATATAACAGTTGGATAAAATTGTCACCTACTTGTGTCGTCCCAAGTTATCTTTAGCATTGGTTGTTTGGTTTAAATCTCAAACTAGTCTAAATGTTTTTTATCGCCTGCGTGAATAAGGTTCTGATATATCGGCAATCAGGGATTTTTCTCTCCCAGTGAACTGGTCTAACACGATAACTAAGTCTGTTGAAAAGACATTGGGGAGAATTCGATCCTCGTAACATGAATTGACAACTCCTACATATTATGGTCGATTTCAATAAGGACATCTCAGAGATTCCTATAGATGATTTGGCGAAATCCGCTTTCTGAAGTAAAATATGGGATTTTTAAAACGGAACACCATCCAGCCAACGACTTATCGGGTCTTCCATAGCATTGGAGAAGCTGATTCGCTGGAAACACAGGGAGGATAGAACGGATCGAAATCGTTATTCTATTATATCTAGAGAGCTGATATAAGAAGCGATGGACTCTCCATAAATTTACCGTGAAAATTTATTTACGCTTGCGGAATGTGAAGGGTAAAACACGAAGCAAAATGTGGAATGCAAGTTCAACAACACCCAAGTTTATAATAACCCATGCTAACATCACTAGAAATTGCAACATAAACGGCTAAATATTTTTCATGTAGGAATATTAAGCTGGAGGGAAACTCAAGCTTGAGGCTAAAAAGAAAATATATTGACAAATCTACTTATGATACCCAATGATCACATTGCATAAATCTTTGAGTAATTGAGGATCTGCATTGTGTCAGAAGCAAGTCATTAGTGAACAGGAGTATTGGGCTACGTATACCGTACACTAAATTAAATAGTTCTCGAAGCAAGCGTCGGCACCAATGCAGATATCGTCAACATGAAGTAGTTATTAATGGATACTTAACAACATGAGCGATATAATGCGGCTTACCGAATTTAAACCCCAGCTTATAGGAGTCTACAGAGATGTCGAAACCTACATTATCAAGGCTATCACACCCACCATACCATACAGCAGGTTGATAGCCCCATGAACTCAAAATTTTCAGTGTCATGCGCATCTTTCATATCCCTTAAAGCCTGGCTAACAATATATTTCATGCGTCCCACGTAGTGTGGGACTGGTAGTCACAAACATCTCATGTCGTCTTCAAGAAGGGAAAGTCAACGGTTCATCTACACCGATGAAGAAACTGTCATATATATTACGAGGGCGTCGAACAGAGATATTCACTAGAGATCACTGTAAATGAATCAGGGGAATAGGAAGAGACGGGAATAGAGTTGAAAGTTAGGACCTTAATGCACAACGCCCTTGAGCAATGAAATGACCTTGACAAACTGACCAGCTGCTTATATTTTGCGCTGATGTTTCTTCAATCCGAATCATTCAATGACTGTGCGTGAGGTATAATAAGCTCTTACCTAACGAGCTCTTGTTTGTTTTAACAACTGGTCACTAATTTCAACAAAGAGATGTACAGTTATAAGTATCAAACAGAAAAGAATGAAGTTTAACATGCCACTGTTTTTCGTAGTTTAACAACACTTTGACCAGTAACACCTTCTAATCTGAGTCGTACCGAACAAATGAAATCAAAAAACAGAAGCGAGGAGGTTCGAAGATATATTCCATAGGCTACCAATATATCGAGGATCGACTGGTCTAATCTGGCTAGCGATTGCAGGGAATGTTGAGCACGCGTTTCCACTCGTGATCTGGTGCGGATGCATGACCAAGCGCCCTCATCTAGTTGAGCCTACTAAAACTAATGTGGTCAGAGCTATTTGTTTTTCGGATTTATTTACTACTATATATCACTCCTCCTCCTAGAGGGTAATGATGACCATAAGACGTGGCATGCCAGAATTATCAACCCAACGAATTTGCCGTTGATAAACACTCTCTTGATAGCATGCTGTGCTTGGCAGCGTCTGGTATTTCTTCCTTGCTATAAGAGACCATGAAGTACAACATATTAAAAAAGAAAAGGTACAATGAAAATTTTGATTCATCCTAAACTTCAAATGTTCTAAAAATCTTAGTCTTCTTCCAGAACGCGTTGTTTTAAGTTTATATTCCGACAAAGCCGATGTATCATCATGCGTCTTGGCTGTCGAATGAGGTATTATAGGTGTAGGAGACGCAACGTTTGATTGTACCGAAGGAAAATTCACGTGAATAGGATTTCATTCTAAATACGCAGCTTTAAGGCGACCGATGCTGATTCTATCGTTGGTTCCGTTCTTATCGACTATATAGTACTTGCGTTCGCGTTGAAGAACTATGGAATAATCATCTTATAGCTTCAACTTGAAACCCCAAATAGCCTTTTCTTCAAAAGTACTATTGTCTCAGAAGAATGTGTTTTTTCAGGTGTAAAAAGATTGATTATATCTGCACCGACAATTTGACCACGGACAACAAAGAATGTCCCACTAGTGTAGGTAGAGGTACATGTGGAGCCGAACACCGAAATGAAAAATGTTAGAATGAGAAGATCGACTGATGTATAAGGTAAAATACTTCTGGGCGTCGGTGGATGCGACTATCAAGTTGTACCCGAAAGCTTGTTCGAACGGACGAGTTTTGAATCGATCCCGATTTGGGTGTCCTGATTAGAGATACTTGAACTGTGTTCCAGGAAGAAAGAAAAAGAAGGAGCATTTCAAAACACAAGATCATTGTTCTCAAAAATATATTCAAATCAAGAGCGAGTGTTTAAATAATGGAATCATCCCCAGTACATCTTAGCTTCCTTTCTAGTTAAACTATAAACAAACGGTAGGGTGTAGCCGTACAGTAATCAGGGGGAATATCTAAAATTTAGGGGATAACACAAAGGGTTCAACTTGTTATAAAGAGCCGAGCCTTGACATTACTCGCCGATTCCAAAATAACTTTAAAAACCTTGTTCGAGAGGCATTCTGCGATTATTTAGGGATCACGATTGGGAACACCGTGCACAACATCCCCTGCAATCGCTATCCAGATTAGACCAGTCGATCCTCGATATATTGGTAGCCTATGGAATATATCTTCAAACCTCCTCGCTTCTGTTTTTTGATTTCATTTGTTCGGTACGACTCAGATTAGAAGGTGTTACTGGTCAAAGTGTTGTTAAACTACGAATAACAGTGGCATGTTAAACTTCATTCTTTTCTTCAGTCTTCAGTCTTCAGTAATAAGGCTAGGAGATCTGTCGACCTATATTAATCCTTGCAGTTTGTAATACTGTGGAGGTCCAATCTCGTTTTGAATATATTAACAGATGGAGCTGATATTACGTGTTCCGGTAGAGAATTCCAGTAATTCACTACTCGGTGCGAGAAACGGAACTCCAAACGTAAACGGTTTGATCTCGGTTTCTGAACTTTCTTCGAATGTCCTCTCAAATGATGAGTCCTAGACGGAAGCGAAAGATAAGACATGTTAATACCAAGGTCATCGTTCAGTATACGATAGGCCAATATTAAATCACTCCTTATTCTACGGTAAGATAACGGAAATAAGTTAAGGTGTCTCAGTCTGTCTTCATAGGATAGGCCAGATAGACCTTGTACCATCTTAGTAGCTCGTCGTTGGACTCTTTCTAGCATATCTGCTTCATATTTGAAACAAGGACACGCTGCTTGAATCCCGTATTCTAAATGTGGTCGCACATAAATCGGGTATAGTAATCTAAACATTTCATCATCTAAATACTGGAAAGACCTACGAATTGACCATAATACCCTATAGCCTTTCGCAGCAGCAGCCTTACAGTGACTAGTCGTTTTGAGATCATTGCTTAATATGACTCCTAAATCTTTATAGTTTCTTACTTTGGGTAGCACGAATCCACGTAGTGTATAGTCATACGATTCATCAGAGTTATTTAACTGCATCACTACACTCTTATTAGGATTTACTTCTAGTGACCACCTATCTAACCGTGCCACCAATGAGCTAAGATCGTCCTGTAATACTATCCTATTCGACATGCTATGTATGGGTCTCCAAATCTTTATGTCATCAGCGAAGAGTATGACGGATGATTTTGCTACAGTTGGCAATTGATTTACATAAACTAAAAAGAGAAGAGGACCTAGGATTGTACCTTGGGGAACCCCGCTTTTTACAAGTACCCACGAGGAGAGAGCCCCATTAACCCTTACCCTTTGTCTCCTGTCATGGAGAAAGTTACTTATCCAATCGACGACTGTATAATGGATTCCAAAACGTTTCAGCTTGAATTTAAGACCAGAGTGGGAAACCTTATCAAAGGCTTTACTTAGATCTATGAAAGTTACATCCACAGGAGCATTCCGATCCTTTGCCGCAGCCCACTCTTCTCGTGCAATGAGAAGATTTGTTAAGCAAGATAGGCTTTTCCGAAAACCATGTTGTTCCCTGGAGAAAAGATTTTGCCCTTCAACATAGTTAATAACAGCTATCCGAATGATTTTCTCCATCAGTTTCACAACTGCACTAGTTAAGCTAACGGGTCTATAGTTACTCCCAGCCTTATACACCGAACTTACTATGGCGTCTTTCCAGTCTCTAGGATGTCTGGACTGTCTCAGAGACATGTCGAATAGTATTGCTAATGGTTCATCAATTTCATCTGATATGGCTTTCATAATCCTAGGATGAATATCATCGGGACCACTGGACTTATCAGGTTTGAGATGCTGGAGTAGCCGTAAAACAGTATCTTTCTCAATGACTACAGGATCCATCAGCGAGCCGTCACAGTCGCGACGAATCATTGGTCGTTCCTCATTACCGATAGAAAACACTTTACTAAAGTATTCCGGTAAAGCTTCAGCTTTTTCGGCATCATTCTCTGCTAAGATTAACGGATTTTCTCGTATCGAAAGTGATGGAATTCCATCACTTCTCTTAGTTCGCCTTTTCATATACGAGAATAACCGTTTCGGACTATATCTAGAATCCCTAACCAACTGTTTTTCGTATGATAGTCTAGTTTTACTTATCAACGCTTTACAGGCATTCCTAATCTTACAGTTACTGGATCTGTATTGTTCTAAGCCAGTAGAGATGAACATATCCCAGTGATTCTTCCTTTTTCTAAGGAGTTTCCTGACCGTTTTAGTTATCCATGGTGGACTATTATTCGGTCTTCGCGATACCAGGTATGGTATGAACGGGGACATAACTAGTCTAAATTTACCTTTAAATACAGACCATGCTTCTTCAACTGATATGCTAGTATCTACTAACCAACTTGTCTTAGCAGCACATTCCTGAATGGCTGATATGTTAACTTTCCATACATTTGGGCGAGGTGTAACTTGATCGTATAACATGTCCCTAGTTCGAAACGTGAATGACAAAACAGCATGATCGCTGTTCACTAACGGCGGGAGAATATTTAAGTCGAAAATATCCTCAGTCTCATGAGTGATTACCAAATCCAGCAGAGAAGAACCCTGGTTAACACTAAAACGTGTGGGTTGGGATACATGCTGTACTAGTGCATGCTCCATTATTGTTATCAGGAACTTACTATCAAAGGAGTTTATAGATCCTTCTGTGGTCATATCAGTCCAACTAATATCAGGTGCGTTAAAGTCTCCTATTATCAAACATCTGGTATTTTCACTCCAAAGATGAATGTGCTCTAAAACAAAGTCATCAGCTAGGCAGATTGGGCTGCGATAGATGACACCTAGCATAAATGTATTACATCCTATAGCCAACTTACAGCTAATGACTTCACAAATGCCGCTATCATGGGATTCGCTAATAGAGGAGCGGATATTTATGCTATTGGCTATGTATAACAGGACGCCGCCTCCATTACTACATCTATGTCTATCACTCCTGATGCAATGGTATCCGGGTAATTCTGGAGTAATGTCTAAGTCATCGACTAACCAAGTTTCTGTCACTGCTCCAATGAGTGGCTTTAATCTGTCCACAAGTGCTTCTAGTTCATAGAACTTATTTCGTAGACTACGAGCGTTGGCATATAAAACTCCTAGGTAGAACAGCCTATCCACACAGCTCTTGGTAGCATTCGCTTCCAAGACCTGAATATCCGAAAACCCACTAGCCGGAGATTTTTCTCGTCGATTTGCCGACGAGTTTCAAGCTCAGCTAGTGCTTTCTTCTTCTTTATTCTATCTTCGAGAGATATGTCAGGTCTAACTCGGATGTCAGAATTGTCGTGACAACGAGCGCTACTTAACAAAAGATCCCGTTGCTTCTCCGATCCTAGGATTACCTTAAGGAGTCTGCATGGACAGGGTTCAACATTGTCCTGTTTGATACTTATAACTGTACATCTCTTTGTTGAAATTAGTGACCAGTTGTTAAAACAAACAAGAGCTCGTT